TAATATAAAACTAATTTCAAATTTCAAATTATTATAAATTGAGAATTATATAAAATCTTTAAAGAGCCTAAAGGCGAGAAATACTTGAAAATCCAAAGGATATAATGAGTTGGACATCTGGTTAGAGTAGAATATTAATTTTCAAAACAATCGAAAATTATTTCTAGCCGAGTTTAAGAGAACTATTGTTCGTTTACCAGGAGTTAGCAGTTGGCTTTGCTTTCGTCACGTAGTATTCGAGGATACTATTACGCTGTTTTTGGTTGAAGGATGATTGGCGTGCATTTAAGGTTTATCTTGTGACGAAACTACCACCATAAATATTAAATACCAATTCATTAGTATATAAGACATGTTAACTTGATTATATCTTGAGGCATCATTTGATAGATGAAGGTTGACATAGTCCGATAATCAATTCCCTTCAATGGTAACCTGCGGACGTGATATAAATTTGCCAACATCGATGGATGGTCCACATTAAACAGATGATTTGCTTAAAATATTGAGCGCATTAAAAAAAAAAAAAAAATCCGGTGAAGTGAGCCTCTCAGTTAATAAACATAAATGAAGGGGAACAAATAATGAGCGAAATGCTATGAAGAAAAAAAAAATAAAGAGCGAAATGCTATAAACAAAACAAAAAAATGAAGGAAAAAATATAATGAGCAAAATGCTATAAAGAAGAAAAAAATAAAGAGCGAAATGCTGTAAACAAAACAAAAAAATGAAGGGAAAAAATTAATGAGCGAAATGCTATGAAGAAAAAAAATGAATAAAGAGCGAAATGCTATAAACAAAACAAAAAAAATGTAGGAAAGAAAATAATGAGCGAAATGCTACGAAGAAAAAAAAAATAAAGAGCGAAATGCTGTAAATAAAACAAAAAAATGAAGGAAAAAATATAATGAGCAAAATGACATACATAAAAAAATACAGCATAAATTATTTAATGGTATTCGTACATTGAATTCTATCACAGATAAAATCCTGGAAGGGAAGTAACGTGGCGTAACTACCACTATAAATATTAAATACCAATTCACTAGTATGTAAGACATGTTAACTTCAATTCATCTTGAGGTACCTTTTGATAGATGAAGGTTGACATAGACGATTACTAATTCCCATCAATCTCAATTACAAACGCGTGGATGTTTTCTTCGATCTCCCCCGCACTGAAATGAACTTTGTCTTCAAAGAGGTGAAGAGTGGAGATTAGTGCCAACTAATTGATGAACGAAAAATATAGAGAGAGGTTGACCTCCCCCGAATCAACTATTTTAAAGAATGCAGGGACATTCTAAGAATCCAAATATTTGGAGGGCAGTCGTTGAACGGAGAGAAGCGGGAAAAGACTTCTCGAGAAGGGCAAGGACTATTCAGGGTTGTTGTACCTCTGAAGAAGAAGAGAAAAAAAAAATAATTCAACAAGGCTTGGACTTGTTGTGAAAAAAAATGGCAACAAGTGTTTTAAGATACTGACCGCAGTCTTAAAAGCTTTAATTTCACTTTAAGAAATAATTCTCAGGAAATTAAGATTTTTAGAAAAAATTTTTAAAAAAATCTGGTTATAAAAATTTGCTTTCCTCATAATTTTTTTTTTTTTTTTTTTTTTTTTACGAGAGAGAAAGAAATATTTCCCCCTTAACTACCACATTTTATTAACGTTTTTAACGTATATATTTGCTTATAAGAAATTTCCTCAGTAATTTCACTTTTTACAAAAACAAAAGAAAAATGGTAGTCGCAAATTGCTTACTTCCTCCGAGAAAAATATATGTTTTTTTCTCCCATCTTATTAAGAACAGCAATGGACCAGTAAACATTACTGCTGTTTGAAGTGATATGGGTTCATTTTGATTGTCAAATTGTCCGTTTTCACGTCAAAAAATATTTTTTCTGAGTTGTTGATAAACATTCATTAAATTATTCTGATTCGTCTGAAGGTGCCTAACACTTTTCAATTTTTCCAGACCATAGCAATCTTAGTTAATTTTAACATTACGATGATGTAAAAAGTTCTTTTATGAAAAAAAAATTGTATGCATATATACATGTTTAAACAAAGTGAATATTTTCTTCTGCCACCTACAACTTTATCTTCGAAAACGCACTTTGGTTAGATTTTAATACTAAATATTAATATTTATATTATTCATAGCTTAAGGTATGCAAAATTATCTTATATTTTCTAAATAAATATTATTAATATCTGTAGAAACAAATTCACATAAATTTGCTTGTATCGAACATTGTTTTTAAGTTTGCCAAGTTTCAAAAGAAATTTATAAAGTTCCTAAAACAATTTCAAAATGATTTTATAAACCTTCATTTTATAAAATTTCTAAAATAATTTTATAAAGTTCCTAAAAGGATTTTGTAAAGTTTCTAAAATAATTATGTAAGTGCTGTTGCAACAAAAATAATAAAGCTTTATACACAGCTGATAACAGAACATCAAATATTTAGGCCTTTTTTATATCCTTAATAGCATCCTTTTCTGTGAATGAATTTAATTGAATTTAATTCTTTTAATTGAACCAGTTGTACAAATTAATAAGTGAAGGTAAATCAACCGGTAAAATTTAATGGAGTGCTGTAATTTTATTTTTCTTAATTGCTTTAATAAGAATGATCATCAGCATTTATTTAGGTCAAAAATGGTGCGCCGCTTTATTGAATATCTAAAATACTAATTGGCAGATTTATAAATATGCTGTATTTGCTGTATATAGCATTGATGAGTATTTCCTAATCGTTAAAAACTTGTTTCTAACGATTGAAAATATAAGGGAATGGAAAAAAAATCATTTTTAATATTATCTCGTTCTCTTCGAGGTAATTTGACATTTATTAGATTGCATAAAGCACATTTTTGTTCGGTTCATTTCTCAGATCGATTTTATTTTTAAAAGAGTAGCAAAATTTTTGTTTGATAGGTTCGTCAAAAATCAGTAAAGGCAGTAAAAAATAAGAAGTACCTACAAGATAATAACTTTTATTAAGCAAAAATTTGATTTAAAAAAGAAGCAACACCCTGCTCCGTTTCATTTTTAAAGAGCGTATACAATCGAAAATTTCATAGAGAATTCGTTAAAATTTAAAAATGTTCTTTTACACATTGTATTTTCCGAAGTTTGCATCTATCTTAATAGTTGGCTTGTTACAATAGTGTTAAATGGCGATGTGTAATAACTAAGGCCCGGATTTTGATGACATTTGCATTTTTTGACATTCTTTGTCCTTTAGAGCATTTTTTGAGATTTATAGGGCATTTTCTTTAAAATTTTGGGGCGTATTTCGTATTTTGAAGCATTTTTTAAATTTTTTGTTAAATTTTTCTAATTTTTATTATTTTTTATAATTTTTTATTATTACACTGGCTTCCAAACAATGAAGAAAATTTCTAGGATATTAACAGGTGAAGCAACATCTTTTCAAATTGAAGAAGAATTGTCAGTAAGTGTGACCGTCCTTTTCAAGTACGCACCAATAACATCAGTAGACGTTGAAAGAAGCTTCTCCTGGTATAAAAATTTGCTTTCAGACAAGAGACGCTCGTTTACATTTCAAAATATTAAAAAAAAATTTAATAATCCACTGTAATTCTGATATTTAGTAATATTATGAGATGGAAGTTGTTATATTCATTTAAGTTTCTATACAAAATGAAAATGTTTTGGAGTCAATATATTTTCTTTTTTTTTGTTATTTTTGGATATAAAACATATTTGTCAAACTTTAATGAACGTAGAACAAGTATTGCATTGCTTTATATTTTTTGAAACGACTCATAATAATTTTAAAGAGTAAAACATTGTTTTAGTTCAATATTTTTACTTCTATTTAAGTCATGTCATAAGGCATTTTTAGCGCAATTTTCGCATTTTAAGGGCTTTTTTTGCACTTTTAAGGGCATTTTTTGCAGTTCTTAAGGGCATTTTTTGCACTTTTTAAGGGCATTAATTGAGATTTTTTAGGTCATCAAAATCCGGGCTCTAGTAATAACTGTCTGTGGCAAGTGCAAAGGGTATGTGCAAAGTACTGGAGTGCAAAGGGTTAAGTGAAAGTGAAAGTGAATTAAACGAATAAATATCTCGAAATATTATTTTAATGCAATAAATGTAATTCTCGATTAAAAAAATAGGATTTAAAAAGACTTTGACAAATAGATTTAATTCAAGTCTTAAGTCTTAAATTTTTTCCTTTCGAAATTTCAGTATTACAGAAATTGTTAAAATCCAAATTACGAGTAAGTGTAATTATTACTTTACTGCCATGAGAGAAGCTCTCCTCAAAAAAGAGCAAATTTGTGGTTATATTTGACTGAATATAGAGCATACTTCGTGCTATGTATGAAGAAATTCAAAACTACGCGAATAAAGAGCGAATAAGGGCACAAAATGGACATAATATAGTATTGGTTCTATAAACAAGAACTTTCCTCACTGTCTGAGCACAAAATGACAGAAGAAAGTGCAAGACAAACAAGTTGCAATACGAAAAAAAAGTTGTTTAACTAATAAAGAAAAAGAAGCAAATTTGAGTAGGATAAAATTGGAGCTTTGGTTAAAAGAACATGAAATATATTTCCAAAATCAGGATATCCAATGATCCTCAAATACCCTACTTAGCTGAAATTCTTATCATCGCTTAAGATTTCTTCCGTTAAAATTAATCAATACCTTTTCAGCTGTTGGGCTTGATTTCTAACGGATCGTTGTGCCTTTTCTGATTATTATCTTACTAGCATACAAATTATTTCCTAATATTTGGAAATTTGTTTTAATTTAATTTCTTCATCTTGCACACCTGGAGTCCCAATTCCAACCCTCATCTATTGACTAAGTGATAATTATTTAAATAATAAAATAATTATCTATTTAATTTATATTTGGTACATATAACAATAAAGTAACAACAATAGATATAGAATGCAAAATAAATATTTTTTATTCACAATGTTTAAATTTTTTTTATTTACAATGACACCAGTATTTCTTTCTATTAAATCATTTTAATACTGAAATTTTTTTTTTTTAAAATATTGGATATCAGATTTTTTTCTTTTTGTTTTGTTTGTTAAAGCTACCACAGAAATTATTTCTCTTATATCTGATTAATTATACATTTAATTGTCTATAGTTCACCGTCAACATTGATGAACAGTGTCCCGCTTAAATTAGAAATAAAAAAACATCTTGATCAAAAACAAAGACATTCATCAAGGTCCAGAACCACACAAGCAGAAAATGAATGCAAACGGCATATGATCATTCTTAATTGCAATATCGATGGACGATTGATGGTTGTCCAGATGAGTTATTTCATGCAAAGCACATGTCAGAAGTAGAGAAATTTTTATTCACTCGTGCAGAACTAATGATTCTTGTTTATAGAAGAAAAACAAGTATAATCGCTTGATGACGATAAGTTCCAAATCGTAAAGTTTAAGAAATATCATTTGATGCGATGTTTACAAGCTGTTTTGTTCAGATGAGGACGCCATACATCGGAAGAAAATTTTTGTCTCAAATTCTCTTTTTCCTTCATTACTAATTTAAAAGAAAGAAAAAGGTAAGTTCAAGCAAATCTAGAGTAAGTTATGAAGTTTTAATTGCTCAAAAATGAAAATACTTCAAAATATTAAAATGCAAGCAAATTATTAGAAGAAAACATCTCTGTTGCGTAATTCTAAGTTATCATCTCATAATTTATTTTCATTTGAATACTTCAAAATTTTCTTTTCAGTATTTGAAATTTCATGGCTTACTCTAGGCTTATCTGAACTCGCATTTTTTTACACTTCAAATTTTAAATTAGCAATGAAGTAGAAAGAGAATTTGCGAGAAAATTTTCCTTCTTTCTTCTCTCTTTCCTTCATTACTAATTTAAAATTTTAAAAGAAAAAAAAGGTAAGTTCAAGCAAATCTAGAGTAAGTGATGAAGTTTTAATTGCTCAAAAATGAAAACACTCCAAAATATTAAAATGCAAGGAAATTATTAGAAGAAAACTTCTCTGTTGCGTAATTCTAAGTTAAAATCTCATAATTTATTTACATTTGAATACTTCAAAATTTTCTTTTCAGTATTTGAAATTTCATGGCTTACTCTAGGTTCATCTGAACTCGCTTTTTTTTTACACTTCAAATTTTAAATTAAGAATGAAATCGAAAGAGAATTTGGGACGAAAATTTACTTCCGCGGTATGGCGTCCGCTTAAGGCAGGAAGCCTATGGTAAATTTATTTACTGGTAAATTTAGCTAAGTAATGGTAAATTTAGCTTTCAAAGCTGCGCAACCATCTTAGTACTTAAGCAACTGAGGGAGATTTATTTTGCAAAATAAATTTTGAACGCTGATATTTGTTTTAAGTTAAAAAATTATCAATTTTTCTCACAGTTGCATGTTTTAGTGAAGTTTCAGATAAGATGTTTTTATACATCCTGTGTTGACTTCTCCATTGTGTCTTAACTTTCCTTTTTAATTGGTCTAGCAAATTCTAGAAAACTCTAAATTCATTCCTATAAATCATAAGATTACTTTTAAAAGTCCGTAACAATTAATTTTTTAACCCAACTATTAACAATCAATTTAGTTCTATCGTCGCTTGGGTTATTGTAATCACATAAATTAGAAAGATAAATGGCATGATGTGTTGAATTTTTGATACTTAACTTAATGCCTGAAATAAAAATATAAAGGAAAAAAATTTCTCTTCGCACTTTTATTTTTACTAATCACACTATTTCTCACTTTTGTTTTTAGCAATCGTAATTGGGTATAATATAGCCTACGTCACAGGTTGTGTTGTTCCTACTAAATTTAACCCATGAACGGCATTTTCTGCGAGCCTAACTTCAAGCCACAAATAAACAAACGAAGTGTTCGATCGTTTAAATAGCTGCTCGCCAGATTTTATTGCATTATAAAGAAAAGTTATTGAAACTAAATACAACTAAATAAACAACAACAACTAAAACAAATAACAACAACTACTAATAACAATAACTAAATAAACAACAACTAAATTCCATTCGTTTAGCATTGCGTCATATGCTGTTCCTACTAAATCGAAGTCGTTGTGTTTTTTTCTTATTATACCCAATTATACTCTTACACGACGACAAAGAAAATCCTCATTTCTTTTTCGCATGGGCAACAAGAAATTGAAACATCAGGCGTGTGAGCTGTCAAAAGCATGAAAGCTTAAACGTGCATGCTTTACAAATTTCTGAATGAAAATTCTTTTCTCGCATGGGCAACGGAAAGCTGAAACAAACTGAGTTATAAGTTGGGAAAGGTATTGAAAGGTAATAAACGTATAGTTCATATCAATAAAGTGTTCTATTCGCTATCTATCCTATATAAAAAAAAAATTGAAAAAAAACCTACCGGAAATATTGAGGTCCTCTTCTGATGTCATAGCATTAACGTGACTATTTCTTTTTTTTTCTTTTTTTTTTTGACGTTCCGGGTTTATTTGTATATGCTATATGCTCTGAACACTCAGTTGTTCTGAATATAATTTTTGTGTCTTGTTTTCTGAGAAAAAAAATGTGTTTTTCATATTTGAAAATATCAGATGAAGATATGAGAATAAAGTATTTTGGGAAATTATCCTAGATTCATATGCAATTAGCTGATCATTGAAATGCGGATTTCCGCAATTTAGTTTGTAAATTCGTGTAGTAAGTAGTAAGTATGGATCAGAAGGTGAATTAACTTATCAATAATCACGAATTCACATAACAAACAAACTTAACAAGTTTTATTATTAAATATAACAGATGTGTAAAAAATGGCAAGAAAAAGAACGATAATTGTTTTTCTTTATAAAAAGCAAGCGCGTGGCTAGATAATGATTGCACGCGACAACTGGTNTCGAGCGGTTAGCGTGTCTGAGTGCGAAGCGAATGGCTGCAGGTTCGAATGCCTACTTTATGTATATGCTACCGTGAATGGTCGAAATCGAGAGAATGTCGACTTTCACCGGTGAATGTCAACAATCACATAGTCGCTTTGGTGAATGACAGAAATATTTGTTATATCTGATTTGATACTAATTTATTTGCTAATATTAGAATTTCTTTGATATTTTAATATCTGCTGAGGATATATTAGGAGAAACATCAGTGTTCGGAGTACCGGTTAAATGCATACTGGCACTTGACCTTAAAAAAACATTGATGTAGGGCATACCGGGCAGTGGCACTTAACTAGACCTAGTATATATNATCGAACCCACGACCTCTTGGATATGGGCCCAGCGCCCTACCGACCAGGCTATCCCGGCCCCCGACTATGTGATTGTCAACATTCATCAGTGGAAATCAACAACCACCAATTTCGGTCATTCACAGTCAGTAACATATATTTATATAGCCTTTTGTTATCGCATCACTATTCTTATTGCTAGCTTAAGTTGTGAGATATGTTTCATTTATTCGTCTTTAAGATACATTCGTCTTTAGAAAACTTAAGAGTGCAACTGTAAACTTAAGTCTTACAGCAATTAATCTCTGAGGAAAATGCTATTAAATTAACTGATGTCTTTAATTGAAAATAGGTGTAAGTAATCTAATGATGGTAGGTTGTTCTCCAAACATTTTCTTTACTTACACTACTTAGCTATTTCATTTATTTTAACAAGTTCAAAATGGTAAATTCCATTTTAGAAGCTTTCTAGTCATATTTTTATTATTTTTTTTACAGATAAAACAAAGATTGGCTGTTTCCGCGTTTCCCAGCCCAGTGCCATCAACTGTTTCCAAGTAGAGTATGGTACACGAAAATATTCGATAACACACTATTGCACGAAAATTCTGTTAAACTAAAGAACTTTTATAAAACTTAATATCCCAGTGTCCATTTGAACTTTTTGAAACGAAGCATTAATCATAGAAGTATTTGAAGAATTCAGTGGTATTATGTGACAATTTAAAAAAGCGTAAAATTTGGAATTTAATAAAGTAAAATAGGCAGCTTTTTGTTAATTTTTTTGTTGTGTCAGTTCTTTAAATAGGACGATTTTTTCAGCCACAAAAAAGGCTCTGTGTGCAAAAATAACTTATATAGCTGAAAAAAAGGTGTAGTTCATGTTTTTTTTTCTTCTATCAAGTTTTTATTTCTTTTTGTTCTCCATCCTTTTAGTTTAAAGGGGCCGAAAAATTTTCCCACTGAAAGTTCTTTTAAGTCATTACCGGGATTTTTAGACATCCTAGCGCGCCCAAGACGTCCTAGTAACTCTTTTTTTTTCAAACGTAAAATTCTAGAGAAAAATAAATTGCAAGGTTCTGAAATTTTCCTTTCTTAAAGTTGTTTCAAGTCATTACAGGGATTTTTATGTCTTTTACTGCTTGCGCAAGACGTCCTAGTAACTCTCATTTTTTTTTTCAAACTTAAAATTCTAAAGAAAAATAAATTGTTAAGTTCTTTGCGATATTTCACGAAAGGGATTGCTTTTAAATGATGTCTGTGTTTATCTTAAATTTCTATAAAATAATCAGAATCCTAAATTAAATTTTAGATAAGTTATTGAAAGTCAAAATAAAAGCTGTGCATAGAGCCTGTCTCGGGGGAAATCAAAAACCACCAAATCAAAATCCAAATATAAATATTTAAAATATTATGGTAAGCAAGAATAAAATACTATGGTAAACGGAATTACCAAATTAAAATATTAAGGTAAACGTAACTGCTTTGTTTCTTCAAAATAAAAAGCAATAATAAAGCATTTTTGCCGCCACATTGTTATTTTTTCTGGAAAAGAACTGTAATATTAAAAAAACGCTAGGCGAAATCGGATTACGGAGAAAGAGTGCTTCGCTTCCAGATTTTGTTGTATCTATTCATCAACCAGCTATTAAATTGTCGATCAATCGAACAGAACAAAAATATTTTATTTTAATTAAAAAAATAATAATAAATGTGAAAAAATTTCAAATTATATAAAAACTTGGAAAGGCTTAAAAATAAGTCATTAAAATTTATATAAAAGAAGAGCTAAAAAATCCTTTTTCATTTTATTAGAAAATTTGATTATTTAAATATTAATAACAGCTTAATAATTGTTTGTTATTAATTTTTAAATAATTATAAAATAATTAGAAGCATTAGTATTTAAATGATTGAAAAGTTCAAGAAAAAAGGGATTCGTTTCCAACTTATGCTATATTTTCTTAAACGAAAGAAGCAAATGTCTATATATCAACAAAAAAAAAATTTTTTTTTTTTAAAAAACTAAATAAATAATATTCATGAAAAAAAATATTAATTTAGTGAGTAAAAAAGCATTAACTTATAAAAAATATTAATATTTTTAAGAAAATAATTATATAAAAACGTAACTATAATAAAATTCTTTTTATATTATAAAAACATTAGTTATTTAAATAAAAAAAATTGAATAATTGGTAATTATTTTTCAATTCCTACTATTAGTTCACACTCTCTCTATATCTTATTCAAATTTTCGATCTGTAATAAAATACTTTCTAATCATCCACTCAAGTTCAAATACATTTCTTTTAAATTTGTAGTGGATGACACTTAA